CGCGGGGCTCCTGGGCCTGGGCCTGCGCCTGCTTCTACACCGACAACGTCTTCCTGCCCCGCTACGGCCTGCACGTGCGCTACCGCGACGGGCCGCAGCTGCGCCAGGACTACGGGCCGGTAACTGCGCAGAGCTAATTGGGGGGGGAGGGGTTGTACAGCGCCGTGCACCCCCTGCCAGGCCCCTGGGGGTCAGCATGGGGGACCCCCACTCGCCCCCTCTACCCGGGTGACAAGGAGCCAGCTTCAGCCCCAAGCAGGCCCCGCGTCCCCGCGCTCGGCCCTTCTCCGCTCGCTTCCCGGGGTCTCCCTCGAGCGGGAGTGCCAGCTTCTTTAAGCCCCGGGCAAGCGGGTACGCCGGCAGGGTCGCTGGACCTCCAGGCCGCCGCCGTCCACCGCCAACCTCTCCTCCCGCTTGCAGGCGCTGAGGAGCCGCGGCTGCAGGAGCGACGAGGATTTTACCGCGGTGCTGAGCGAGGTGAGCGCCGCTGGGGCGGAGACCGTCCGCTTCCCCAGACGCGGGGTCTTGAGTCCTTACGCGTGCGAGGGGCGGTTGGGTAAGCGTGAGCAGAGCAGGACCCGGTCCAGGCGGCTTTCTTCAAAACAAATCCACGCGGCGTGCAGGGAACTTCTCCGCCGCTATTCGTATACGGGTAGGTAACGCTAAAGCATCCGGGGACGTGGCTCGCGCAACCCCTGACGGCAGAGTCATCTCCTGAGAATCGGGGAAAAGCAACGTGACGGATGGACTTGGCGCACGCTGCTGGTTGCTCCCCTCCCCTCACACCCAGCCCATCTTTCTGATACAAATTGTGCCCTAGCTTGAGACCAAAGCCCTGAATACAGGGCTGGATATTCTCACACTCGCTCGCTCACAAAGCCAAGAAGTTAACCCTGGCTCTCAGCCCACTATAACGGGCCTCGCACTCCCTTCCTTGGTGTCTAATCACGCTGCCCTAACGAACTTCTTTGACGTTTTTAGTCTTCCTTTTATACAACGCATTTATAAAAGGTGGGGGGAGTGCGCTCAGATTGCAGCACTGTGCTCCAAAGGG